CTAGGAATCATCAACGCAGGAACGCACTGTGATAACCCAGTCATACAATTCATTGGCAAAAGACAATAATAGCAAAGGTTCTCACCATCCACATCTTACCTGATACCAAGCTAATCAAGATGCCAGCCAGGTGCAGTTTTTCCGACGTTTCTGGGCTCCAAAGCAATGCCGAGATGTGAGAAGTTTATGTCTCCGTCATTGCTCGCTAGACGAAGTAGGAGTCACCACTTCATTGCACAGATCAATCAGATGGATAGTGGCACACGCCCGGGTTGCCTTCGACTTCCTCCGGACCGTCTACCAGACCCCCTGAGCGTATAGGCATGAGTTAGCAAGCACACCCGGTGACTTCACCAGCACACTCCTGACTGCTGCGGTGCAATGGTCGGGTTCTCGTCTCGATGAAGGGAGTTCCAAGCCCAACTTTGAAACCACATCGCACTTCACCACAAGCGAATGATTGCACGCTACCACCGCTCTATTCCCACGCCTCCCTCCTCGGTGGTGTGATAGTAGAGCCCGCTCGATCGCCGGATGCATTTCCTCGGAGTGAGTGATGGCTACTCCAACAGCGCAGCGCCAGCAGCATCCACTGTTCCCGAGCCGTTCATCCAGATGTTCTACATACCTCTTCCTCGACCAGTATAGCCATTCTCCACCACTCTGGAAAGCCGTTACTCAATAAAATAGTAAGCCTCGATAGACGACATTAAGCAAGTTATCAGCAAAGCCGTCCAATCGCCTGGAGCAGACCACGCTGGGGGGGGGGTTAAAATAGCTCTAAAATGCTGTGCAAAATTTTCCAGTCATGATATGGCTTCACAGGCCTGAGCAGAGTCTGACCATGTAGCCGTGGCCGCAGTCCCGGCTTTCTGTGCTAGAGGGGGCCTATCCAGCCACTCACTTATCTTGACCTTGGGGGGGGTTTCAGCTAACAGCTAAGCGAGCCTACATGGTCTCCCTGTAGTTCTTCCTGGAATTAGAGGCCGTGTGAGGGTGAGTTCGCCCTCGTCCGGCTCTCTGCAAGCATGCTGGATGAATGGCGGCTGGGGTTATTTGAGTAAATCTGGAGATGTATATCTCCTGGGCTTTGTTATTATCCCGCTCATATAACCCAAGAGAGAACGCCGACCTGAGAGACGAAGGAGAGATATCCTCGCCGCCTTAAGCTTATGGTGTTTCGTTTGCTTTTTTTCTGTGCTGCATAGATATGCGGCTCCAGTGCGTTCCTCTCAGCACAACTGATAGCCTGAGGAGCATGAGCAGGCTAACACAGTCCCCATGTGTTGCCCGTGACGTACCGAGCGTGGCCGGTCACAGGATAGAGTCAGGTTGTTGACTTTTCTGTGGTTTGTTGAGCTTCTAAGGCTCTTTGGAGACAGTATGCAGTGGTTCAGCACGGGTCTGAAGCAATGAAGATCTGATGCTCCTTTGGCCAGTCGAATTGTTGAGGACTTGGAAGCCCTGCAAGAAAACCAAGAGCGAGTGAGGCGGGTATGAAAGGCAGAAGGCAAAGCCGGGTGCTCACGCGGTAGAGGTAGACAGTGCTCTTGGTTAAATAGAAAGAGACATAGGAAACAGCAGAGGAGTAGGAAAAAGGAAGAAGCTATCAACGGTGAAGAGAATCATTGCACCCGATTAACGAATGTCGAGCATTTGACAAGACTCACGATACAAAGGTGCGGTTGAACCTTGTTCCTCTCAGAATATATAGCGGGTCTTCGAGCATGTTTAATTGCCTACTTGGATGGATGGATCGAGGCATGCAAAGCATCAGGCATAGAAGGCAGCCAGTATAACCACTACCGCTATGGTCTATAGACAGCGGCAGCGGCCGTGGTTGATCCAATAATAAGGAGTTCATGTAGGATAACCATGGAGACCATGTAACTGCAAGCACATGGTAACCCGTTCAATTGCTGCGTTGGGTGACACAACTTTATGAGTAGTAATCTTCAGAGGCTTCGATACATGTACAAGGTGGTTCGGCTTTCGCTCTGGCCGCCATTGATGGCCGCGGTCAAATCATACTTGAAGCTTATAAAATCACTCCTTCATGAATATTCCTTAGCAGGAATGTGGCGAAAGTGGTAAAAGTGCTTCTTCGTTATGGCTGCAAGTTCAATGTATGCTCCACGTAATCAGTATAGTTCAGACTGCGAGCGGGCAAATATCCTTGACGCGCAAGGCAATTTCTACGAAGTGAGAGCTGATAAACATCTCTTGAGATCTCAGTACAGATTGAAATTTGGGCAGGCAAGTCTGCAGATCGATCAGGTTACATTCTGTAGGTTAGTTATCTATCATGTGGAGGGAGTCATGAAGTGTACACGAGTACTGATCTCTGGGCCGCTGTACTGTACAGTCACCTGGAGTCCAGGTTGATGAGAAATGTATGAAGCGACCCGTGGGTCATGCACCAATGAGTCAGGTGGTTGCATACTCCACACGGAGTAGATTGTCAAGTCATGAAACATCGAAGAATCCAATTGACTTGTCATAAGTTCTAGCGCACCGATCACGACCAGTAGCGATAATCCTCGATGATATGTTGTCAAACCAGCTGTGGGTGATGTATAAATTTTCCGGCGTCGGGCAAATCGGGGCTTGACTCAAATGTCAAAGTGGAGCACATGTCAGGCATTGGTACTTTTAAGCAAGGCGACGAAAATCGACTGAACCTTGCTTGGACTGCATGCAGATAGATGTCCCTGGTCTTCGGGGCTGTAGTTAACTTGCTCCGGCTGACGGACAAAAGCAAAGAATCAATCCCAACAACGAATCGAGCGAGAAAGAAAGATCAGATTCACAAAGACTGCACCTCCCGGTAAATCTGGCTGGGACTGACCGGATCGGCTGGAGATCAGCGATTTTTTATACTTTGTAAGTATAGAGAGTTAACGGTCAGCCACATTCAGCCGACTAACCTTGGTTCCAGGTTCCGGAAACGGCAGAAATGGGCTGTCAGCGCGACTTTTTTTTCTCCACAGTCTTGAGGCAGCCATTCATGGCACTTAACGGCTCTAAGCTTGATCATGGATCATTTCTTAGTCTACCACCGAGTCTCGACTGAGCATTATTGAACATCCCTGGCGTGCAGCAGCAGCAGCAGCAGCAGCAGCAGCACTGTTGTGGAGTGGGACGCCCTGCCCCCCTTTTTTCAGCTGCTTTTGCTTTCCTCCACCTCCCCAAGTGTAATAAATGATAGGCTCATAAATTTGCCTGATAATCGTTTTTAACATTTGCTTTTTTGGGGCAATGAACACTCATCAGATCATGATTCTTCCGACTGCTGGTGCAAAGAACTTGCGATCACTGCCCTACTACGGATACAGTATGATGGGAGGATGACCAAGGCCATCCCTAATCCACTTCGCTTGGCCCACTCTCTCTCCTCTCGCAGCAGTTCTTTGTTAGTCTTGCCCTGACTCTGTTTCTTTTTTTACCTTTTGACTCGTGCCGTGTGCATCCCTGCCCCTTTTGCGATGCGATCTTTCCTCGCTCAAGTGGATGACACAAGAGAAAAATAAGTGGAATCTACGATTCGCGTGCGGAACTGCAGGTCAGATCTATCATCCACACATTCCCTTGGAAGGTTGTGATGGATCGACTTGAATGCCTCGTATCGGGGGTTTTTGGTATTCCTCATGCACGATGTTCGATCAGTGTCAGATTTGCTTCCTGCCCGGGTCTTGGTCCTGTTGTCTTTCCAACAACATCTCAGCTGAGTCGAGTGGATAGGTCGGGGCTCGGGAGTAGAAAATGCTGCAAGTGGGTTTCCCAGGAAATCTGGCTAGACGAGATGGATTCCAATCAATCTCCGCCGCCCGCCGGAGACCTGGGCTGGGGACTAGAATTTCCTCTTCAGGAACGGAATGACGGGTTGAAAATGACCTGACAACCCTGGTCAAGAAGGACTCGTCAACGGATCCCCTATAAGTTAGTATTTTCCATCCATTAGTTAACAAGTTGACAGAGGTAGTTAGTTAGAGGTGGCGAATGAGCGATAGTGGTCTCGACTAGGAAATTCTCAGTGGATGCGTGTAGAGTCGTCTATCCCACGATCTGTTAGGTCGATCGGCCTATCTGATCAACCTTGGTGTGGTTCTTGCTGGAAAGGAGATGACGATGGGGGGGGGATAGCGAAGGAGGCCGGCCGGCTTTGGCTCCGGTGGAGGACAAAGCAAGCAAGCAAGCAAGCAAGCAAGTAAGCAAGATGGAAAAACAAGGTACTCCGTAGGTAGCGATGTGGAAATTGGCAGTTGGCAGTATGGAAGTGATAAAGTGGTGGTAGGTTTAGGTAAGGACAAATGATGTCTTGACTCCGCAGAAGACCACGTTGCCCGTGTGTCGGGAATCCATGGTTCTTCTCACCTTGTTGTGCCTTGCCCCAAAAATCTGCTTTGGGTGGTGGTTTGGTGGTGATTTGAGTGGTTTTGGGTGGTTTTGGGTGGTTCTGGGTTCCGCCCTGCTGGAACCGGAACCTGACTGGGGCCTAAGGCCAGTGACGGGCTTTTCCCTCCCCTAACTTAACTGTTCTCCACACTACTAGTACTAACTTACTACCGCCGCCGCCTCCACCATTCATCCATCCGTTCATCCATCCATCCAATCCATCCATCCATCCATCCATCATCTTTCTTTTATTTACCATCTCCGTCCATAAGCAGCCCGTGTGCGCTCCAACCTTGAACGTATTTCCCTTCCTCTTCTTACATTCTCACACCATCCTCGCTCGGTTCTTAATTATTGCCGTCGCTATTATTACTACTACTATTATTATTACTATCATTATTGTCGTTTTTCTTCTTTTGGCGTTTCATCTTTTCTTTTCGTTTGTTGGTAGCCTCAACCATCATTTTATTCCCTCCCCTGATATTCTGACATTTGCTTCTGCTTCTGCTTTCTCAGGCACGGTCTTGGTGTTCTATTATTATCTACCAGCCCCCCCCGGTTACGTACATACAGTAATCGCCCCGGACGTGCTACTAGGTTGTTTCCCCTTCCATCTCAGTGCCGAACCTGCTCCGACTGTCGCGCTTCTCGTGCTACTGCAGACAGAATTCGCCAATGTTCGGCCTCCGTCTTCGCTGCGTCCGATAAACGACCTCTCTCGTGAACGCTTCCTGGTCATGTCGTTTCGCAGGCACCTATTGCGATCCCAACGTGGACTGTCCCTGTATTCTCGTTCCTGCTAGGTCGCCGCTCCAAGCCCTCGCGACTTTCCACCAATTCGGTGGAACAACAGCTTTTCTCGTCTGATACAGGTCGTCCACCACGCGTCTACGATTGGAGGGTGCTTTTGCCATGGCGTCTAGTTCAAGCGAGGCTGCAGGAACCCCGGGTCAGCTGCAGACAAGCATCTGTCCGACGTGGGTCGAACCGGGGCTTCAGGAAACCGCATATGGAGATGCAGATACCCGATATACGACATCCGATCTTCGACGCGCCCACACTGTAACACACGGCACGAACACCATGGACAAACATACCGCGAACGCCAAAACAATTCGGGAGCAGATAGCGACCTCCTTTCTGCGCGTCAAAGATAGTCATGAGCTCCTGCGGAAGCGCTCCTTCAAGCGGGCTAATCCCTCTAAGGCTGCCGGCGACTCCCTACCAGCATCCAGGGAGCCCAATCATTTCACAGTGGGTAATGTTGGCCAAAATGGGACCATTTTTCTCAGGTAATGTTTGTCCGCGGCTGGCCGAATTCGGTCATGCTGATCTCATGGGCAAGGAGCTAACCCTTCCAACCCGTTACCTCACAGGCCGATTCACAACCCATCGATCAAAGAACCCTTCCAGGCGCCTTCCGCCCCTCCTCTGAATAAATCTCGCCAAGAGCATCATTTACAGCCGCACGCACATACTGGACGCGGTGGGACCGAGCCCTCTAGGTGGTCGAACTCACAGCTCTCGGAATTTCGCCCAGATCTCATTCCAGAAGAAGACCCCGAGGATGACGAGTCGGTCGACACAGAATCAGCGCACTCCCAACGCCATCATCCTCTCCACCCTCGGCCTCGTAAAGTGCATTCATTCTCCACTGTCTCCGAGCAATGGTCCGAGCTACGTGCAGGTCGCCCGGGAGAGCTTCAGATATTCATCGATCAAGCAGCCGACAGACCTAAAACTGCTGATGAACCGCTACGACGCCCATCGGAGAGCGCCCTGATTCCATACCATCTGGGCTGGTCGCCACCAAACCTCGACAATGAAGCACCGCTGCACAGCTCAGTATATGTGAGGACATCTCTATCGACTGACATGCGCGCCTCAAATATCCCCCGAGACTACTGGATCGGCACTGCGGCGCCCAATGCTTATATCGGTGACCCAATGCGGCCTTCCTTCGTCGGTTCTTTCTTTTCTGGAACTGGTGCCATTGAGATGCCCCAGCGAGCGGCGATCAACGAGCACTCGGCCTTCTACGAGCCCAAGGAGCCGATTGAACCTTCAATCTTCGAGATTTTGGCTTCGGAAATGGACAAAGAATCGGTTGTGCGCTACATTGCCGGCACAAAAGAAATCAGCGCTGCTACCCCAGCACGAATTGTGGCACAGATATCTTCGGCCTCTTTCATGGACTACGAGCTTGTCTCGGATTTCTTTCTCACCTTTCGTTCTTACCTTGCCCCTAGCACACTCCTGGCACTGCTACTAGCTCGGCTCCGATGGGCAATCAATCGACCACAGGACGACGGCAGAATTATCCGAATCCGTACCTTTGCCGCTCTTCGACACTGGATTTTGAATTATTTTGCAGATGATTTTGTTCCGGATTACAGCTTACGAGCATCATTCTGCGAGATGATAAACAGCATGTACACTGATGTGAAGGCCCGGCAAGGAGGAGGAATGAGTGATCTGAAGATTCTCATCGACCTCAAAAGATGCTGGTATGGCAAGTGCTCAGTCTACTGGGACACCGCCGAACAGCATGTCGCATTCCACAGCCCAGAGATTGCTATCAGACCGGGCGGCCGCGAGGATGAAATCACTTTGGAAACCGGTGGTAATACCATGCTGGCTGTCGGTGGTCCGGAATTCAACATGGAGGCTGGTCTCGAACGTAGTGTCTCTCACACTGCTAGTCACCACCAGCGCAACAATTCTGCTACCACGACGGGGAGTCTCCCAATGACTACAATGAGTGACCGCAGCATTCATGCGACTTCGTGTTCTCTGCCGCCTAAATCTCCGAAACGACTCTCTTTGGCTGTGACCTCGAACAAAGCACCCCACCTTGTACCACTTGCACCCTTGAAACTGACATCCTCTCGGGATGCACTGCCTTCTTCACCTCTAAGTACCCGTCGCCATCCATATTCGGGCCATAAACACAAACGTAGCGGCAGCTTTTCCGACTCTGTCAGAGATGATCGCGCACCCTTCTCGTTCCTATCCCCGGGACAGCACCCTACCGTTTCTTCATATGGAGTGCTCAATTTAGGTAGTCTGATACGCGGCGAACTCTACCCTCCGGCGGAGTCGTACACGATAATGATGGCACCACCATCCCCTCCTCTACCATCGTCTGCTAGAGACAAATCCCCTAATCGACGAAGCACTTTCAACACAACAGCCAAACCTAGCTCTTCCGGGTCCGGTGTAAAAACCATCATTGGATCAATTCGCCGCGCTCTACACAGTCGCCATGGAGGACCTGGCGGTTCTCGCACCACGCAGGGACAAACGAACCCTTCTTATCTGGGGAAGACCTCGGCGCTTCCCAATAATGTCGCATTTGGCTCCGATCTATACCGTGATAAAAAAGCAACTGCGGCGACCAAACGGCGTATTAGAATTGACACGCTGTGTGACGAAGCCTTACGACAATACCGTGCAGCTGTCACTGACCAAGCGGAGACGAAGCCAGTCGTCTTGCGTTCTGAATCTCCACGGCATCCGACTGTAACGGCTGATGAGATAGAGCCTCACCTTGCCACACCCGGTTTGACCAGAATGAACAGTCAGCTAACCACAGGTAGTGAGTCGATTGTCATTGTGGATGGCACTGGCCTTGCGGTGCCGATGATGTCCGGGGCCCTTGGCTCGAATGCCGGCCTCGAAGAAGCTCCTCGGTTCTTGGATACAGAGACCTCCTCGCAGAATTTGAGGGCTCCATCCTTGCTCGCACACTCTCAACGCTCGACTCTAGCCACTGGCGAGTACTCACTTCCCATTTACCTCGACGAAAGCGAGTCTAGCCCTTCGACCAGGGCGTCCAAATTTCTTCGTCCTTCCTGTCCAAATACATCACGCAGATCATACTCAGTCGAACGCGGATCAGCATCTTGGAAACAAACCTCGCCCTCGCTGCGCCTGCGTAAATATGCGTCTTTCCAAAGCGGGATCTCCAAGCTGCGCCTCACGTTGGGTAGCGAGTCAGCCGTCCCAGTCCCAGGACAACACTCGCGGCAAGAAGTGGATAGACCTGCAGGCCCAATGCTACGCAGGCGTCCTGGCGGAGACCTTCGTCAAATGCGGAATGAGAGCTGTCCTCAATCTCGGGTTAACTCGGAATTGATGCTTTCTGATATGAGTTATCGCACTTCTGGTGCGGACAGTTTCGATACTCAGCTTGAGAACCTCGGCTCCAGACCTCAGACAAGTCTTATTCCACCGAACCCGCGATACTCTCTGATGACAACACATTCATCTCAGAACATGCGGCGCTCATTCGAGGCTGCCATAGCTCAATTCGCGCAAATCCCGGATGATGGCGATGGAGGCGTAGAATCAGCCTTGCTGAAGCTGGAGGGCAAGTGGCAAGGTCAACCGGCTTCTGACCATGAAGCAGTCCCCGTTGGAACAGAGACTTGTACTCAAGGTTATGCTCTTGGTAGTGTTTGTGAAGAGGATCGCTGTTATCAAGGTCAAGCTGTGCAACATCATCCGAGTTCGGCCAACGCTGCTGGACGACGCGAGACATTCCTTGGAGACAGCTTGACTTACTCACAGATACAGGGACGCCTCGTTCATCGTCGGGACAATTCCCGCTCGGTGGCAGAAACAGAAAATTCTTACAGCTCAATCCCGCTTCTCGAGCGGGGATTGAGTGATGATTCAATGAAGAAGCCAAACAGTCGACCATCGTCGAAAGTCGCTAGCTCATCTCGCATGCAAGCCAGCGATATCTCTACATCGGGCACAATGAATGTGGACTCATCACATTCGTCTCTTGATATTGTAAAGAAGACCGAGAGCTTGAATCGTATACCACGAGGTTCTACGCTTCCAACCGTTCCTCACGAGTCGCGCAAGCAATTCGGGCGCCTATCAGGATTATCCTCGGAGATTTCCGTGGACCTAGTCGATACACGAGAGGCGGTGGAGCAACGGCTATCTCTCGATACACACAGGCTGAGCGATATGTCCTTGGGAATTCCTACACATCCTCTTGCCCATCCGCCGTCCCCTCCGATGACCATCCAGAACACTCGATCGATCTCCTGCGCCACGCCTCTCAACCCGGTGTTGTTCCCAACAGAACCCCTGACGCCTGACCCATCTCCCAGAAACGCTGCGGAGCAAGCAGATGGCCGAGCCCTGGATGTGCAGCATGTATCCGGCGATGTCCTTTCCCGCTCTGAAAAGCACCGCCAACTCCCTCCGCCATTGAACAACAACACCGAACCCGACCATGTGCCATTTGTTCTCTCTTGCGAGTCTCACGTTCTTGCTCAACAGCTGACCTTAGTGGAGATGGCCGCATTGAGCGAGGTCGATTGGCGGGACTTGATCGATATGCGATGGAGCAGCGGCTCACCCTCAGCACTCAGCTGGATCCAATTTTTGAAGGAAGGAGAAAGTCGGGGCATTGATCTGGTAGTAGGCCGCTTCAACCTGATGGTCAAATGGGTGCTCTCCGAAATTGTTCTTACCCTCGATCTACATGAGCGGGCCCGGACGATTGCCAAATTCATTCACACGGCGGTCCACGCCCGGCGGATGTGTAACTACGCAACAATGCTTCAAATCGCCATTGCTCTATCATCTACCGACTGCTCCCGACTGCAGAGCACGTGGGCCCTGGTTCCCCCCGCCGATAAGCACCTGTTGAAGGACATGGAATCCCTGATTCAACCAATTCGCAACTTTCACGACCTCCGCGTAGAGATGGAAACGGCCAATGCTCAGGATGGCTGCATTCCGTTTGTCGGTAAGTTGTTCTTTGGGGCACTACGATCTCTGTCAAGGAATACGTGGCTCATCACTCAACATACAGGTCTCTATGTCCATGATCTCACTTACAATGCACAAAAACCGGCGCAGGTGACTACATACGATGGAGAACCCTTGATCAACTTTGAACGCTACCGTACCACGGCCAAGATCGTCAAGAGTCTTCTTCGTTTGATTGACTCCAGCACCAAGTATAAATTTGACCCGATCCCGGGTATTATCGAACGCTGCCTGTGGATCGCATCGCTCTCCGAAGAGCAAGTCCAGCTGCGCAGCAAGCAGCTGGAATAAACACTATTTACGGCTTGACATATGATGAACCATGTCGCTACACGATCAGACTTAACGAGATGACAAACATAATAATTTGGGAGGATGGATTGTTTTATTGCATGGAGCGCTCGTGATCATGTTGCGCCAACTACCTAATACCCCCGAAGATACCCTGGATCGCATTGGGCCATGGACGGACAGAATGGGTGTTGAAAATCTAGTTACTTGTCATGTATGTATGTTTGCTTTCTATGTATATTAATCTTGCATCAGGGTGCATTGGGATTGGACTGTTGTTCTGCATATCTGGTTCTGATTTTGGGTTTGTTTTATTTGTTTATCATTATTTTCTTTGGATGCAAGGAGAGAAGCATGACATGTTTGGATTCTGATGCGATGATGTCTGCACAATTATCAACCTTGTCAAGTCAATTGTAAAGGAGAAGGGGGGTTCTCATCCTTTCTTTAATAGTCGATTCTTTTTCTCACCGAAATGAACCATCAATTGAAGCAATCTAAATTAAATCTCAATGCACTGAGTGGTGGAAGTGGATAATAATATAACAATGCTACTGCGTACTCCGTAGCCAGGCTGCTTCTTTTCTTTTTCGGCCAGCCAGGAACTTTCCAGGGTTCCACTGCGCCCGCCCGCCCGCCCGCCCGCCTGCCTGAACACTCGTCATCTCTCTCGCTCGCTCCCTCATCGTTTCCCTTCTTCTCCCCTTCTCCATTCTAGTCCTTCTCCGATACTCGTCTCATGGATCTTGACTTCTATTAAGACGACTTATCCACTATCACTCACTTCCTCTCTCTCCAGCATATACCGCTCTCTCACAAAACCCCGTCCATCCGGCTCTAGACCATCCCATTCACACAGACGGGAAGACGACCCACCGGGGAAAGGAGGCTGTCCTCCATACCAACCAGTCTTGGGGCTGTCTCCTCCATGGAGCGAGAGCTAGTATACCTCTTCTACTCGGATTCTCCTACTCTCTTTTGCGACTCCGTTTTCCACCGTCATAGCCCCTTCATACGTCATGAACGACCCCGACTCCCCCCGCGGGGTGTCGGACGAGCTCGACCATAGCGATCCATCCTCGACAGACCTTCACGTCCGCACGCTTCCCGATGATTTACCTAAGTCTTTGGATGACCGCCGCTCTTTGCCAGTCCTGCAGCACGAGACGGAGATGTACGATGCCTGGCAAGGTGCGCCGCTACTTGATCCTCCTTTACCCCTCCTTCGTACCCCTCTCCGGGCTGCGCAGCTTTTCGCAGCTGTCACCCCGCCCTCCTGCGCATAGCAAATGGCTAACCTATATGCGACACTGCAGGTCAATCGCAATTTCTCACCACCCCCGTAGCCGCCAAACCCTTAAGCTTCAGCCTCACGCTCGATGATCACACGCATGACGAGGAACATGCCCTTCAAGCCCAGTATGGACGCGGTCTTGCCGCGGCCGCTATCGACGACGATAACGAATCTACAATCACAGCTCGCCTCGAGGATAGCGATGCCCGGTTGATGGAGATGCTTGCTGCGCAGGCGGCACACCGGGAAGTGGATTCGCTGGGTGCGGACGAAGATGCCATCGCCTCCGATGAAAAGCTGACTGAAGCGGAGAAGCGGGACATCCTACAGCGGAGTTTGAATATGGCGGCGAGTAATGGCGACGTGGAACGTGTTCGCAAGCTGGTGCAGGGCCAAGCAAAAGAGTACGTGGATGTCAACATGCCAGATGAAGAGGGCACAGTGCCCCTGATCTACGCTAGCTGCTTTGTATGTTCCGTGGCCTTTTCCCTTCCCCCGCTGAGTTACCGGGCGATGCAAGACTGACTACTCGGTGTAGGGACATCAGGACGTCGTGTCAGCCCTGCTTGATGCAGGGGCTCTTGTCGACCAGCAGGATCGCAATCAGTGGAGTGCCTTAATGTGGGCCATGACTAACCGACATAAAACAATTGCAAAAATTCTCCTCGACCACGGCGCATCTCCGGACATTAAATCCTCATCGGGTGGGACGGCGTTTGACTTTGCTCAGCCAGGAAGTGAGATTTCAGAGTACCTGCACGAAAATGGATATCATTTTGGACCGAGCGCCATCGAAGACGACTTTTATGACTCCGGGTTCGGCCATGGTCGCTTTGAGGAGGAAATCGCAGAGAACGAAATGAAGCGGCGTATGATGATGGAAGAGAGCGCGATCAACCTTGAGGTAGACCTGTCGAGCCTAGGATTGGACGAGAAATTCGACGTAAGTTGGATGGCAGATTCTCCGCTGATGATACTATGGCTAACATCGTCTCTTGATTGCATCGATAGTCGCAAGATGACGAAGATTTGGAAGAGGAGCAACAAGAGTTCGTTTGGGACCGGTGCTTGAACGACCAGATGTTCGTCTTCCAAGACAATGAGCTCGAAAAAATACTGAATATCATCATCACGAACATGACACCACAGCGATCACCCTCACAGAAACCGGTACCTGCCAACCTTTTATTCCTCAGCGCTCGTTACGCTCATTATCACGCCAGCCCCGAACTGCTGGCCACACTTCTGGTCTCCGCGACCGATAAAATCAACGACGTCGTGGAGCGTCATCAATGGGACATGACTATCCTGGCCTTCTGGATGTCGAATGCGACTCTTTTGCTCCACTATCTGAAGAAGGACGCCGGCTTGGTAGAAGCCACGGTGGAATTCCAGCTTCACCTGGCCGAGTTGATCAATGAGATCTTCATTCTGATCATCCGCGATGCTGAGCGTCGCATGAATAAGGTTCTCGACTCGGCCATGCTCGATCACGAGACAATTCCGGGCCTGGAGGATGTGCATTTCCAAAATGAATGGAAACTTTTCCGACCCAAGTCCAAGGCAAAAGCCCCCGAGCCGGTGGAGAAGCGCTTCCGACCACCATCTCCGCGACGGCGTGCGCAGGTCTCGCCGCGCAATATCACCTCCCTTCTGTCATCAACCCTGTTTGTCCTCGATTTGTACGATGTTCACTCCGTAATCACCACTCAGATCATTTCCCAGCTTTTGTACTGGGTGGGCGCTGAGCTGTTCAACCGAATCATGAGTACCAAACGCTACCTGGCTCGCACGAAAGCGATGCAGATTCGCATGAACGTCTCGACGTTGGAAGATTGGGCCCGGAACAACAATCGCCAACCGGAACACTACGAGAACGGCTCGACGTCCAGCACGGGCGAGTGCACCATGGACGCTGCGCGCAAGCATCTCGCCCCGGTGATCCAACTTTTGCAATGGCTGCAATGCTTCTCCTCGCTGGGAGATGACTTCGAGTCACTCGTGACGACTCTCCTTCAATTGCAGCAACTAACCCCGGCCCAGCTTCTGCATGCGGTCAAGTCGTATCGGCCAGAGGTCGGAGAAAAGGGACTGACCAAGCAAGCGATGAAGTTTCTTATTGAGCTGCAGCGCGACCCGGAACTGCTCTACCGGGAGCATGCCAAGCTTCAAGCGGCCCAGCAGCAACGAGGTGCGGCGCAGGCGTCAGCCTCTAGCGATGGGGGACGTCCTCAGACGCCCCTGGCGACGACCACGCCGGGCGATGCGGCCACCTCTTCTGACGCCTCGACGCGCGCCTCGATGGCATCCCCGGGGTCTAGTTTCGCATCTCCACGACCGGCCCTGATGGAAGAGCGGGCCGGTAGTCATGGGGTGTTTTTAGATCCGTCTTTGACCCTCCCCTTCTCCTTACCCACCAGCACGGATATGTTGATAAGCTACGGGGCTGGATGGGGAGGTACTAATCGCGAACGGGCGCGTAAATACATCCCAACAGTACCCCCGGAAGTGCTCAGTCGATTCGATCGTGACGGGTGAGGATGACAAGAAAAAGCACATGGGGCGGGGGGAGTGCGAAGCCATCCAGCTTTGTGTATCGGGATACCCTGGGACCCATTGATTACCTTCTTCGAGTATATACATTTATCTAGGATTTTTCTTTTCTTTCCTTCCTATTCCGCCACTCAGTCGCATTTTCCATGCACTTGCCTGTACTGAGTAGGAGTAGTTTAGAGTGGGCAGTATGACATGCCAAGCGGTCCCTTGGGAAGCGGCTTGCGTAAGGCCGTCAGATTGAGTAGTAAAGGGGAGATGGGGATGGACAGTGGAGTTACTGAAACGGGCCCGACCGGTTTACAGAGAGATTTGCCCAATCTAGACGAGGCACGCCGAGATACTAGTAACTTGAAGAGAAAAGCGCATGTCTCGAATGGGCGGAAATCGGATAGGGTTCATAGGTTTGCACAGGGGAAAACCCGAAAAGAGCAGCGGAGCAGGAAAGCCTGGAGCAGTGTTATGGGGGATGACGAGTCGCACCGGGCGGTTCGTCGTCAGCAAATCTGGCCGCTAGTCTCTTTGCAGCGCTGGGAACTCCACTGTCAACCGTTTACTTTATATAATGTGTTGGAGGTGAAGAATCAGTAATCTACTAGCCTCACCCCAGTTCCCGCCTCTATCTCCTTCCTTCTCCTCCTCCTCTTTCTTTCCTTCCTTTTTTCTTTTCCTCTTCTCCTTCTCAGACTCCGAAATTCTATTATCGCTTCCCATCCCGCATTTCTCAGGCATCAACCAATTTACGGCCAACATCTTAAGGCATCGATATCCGGGGACTGTCTCTTCCCGATCTGGTTAGTCTACGCGGGGACCAGCCCTGTTTGGGTAAGTGTGTCTTTCCCGTTTGGGGGTTATCCTGTTTGGGCGATGATTGAGTCTGCATTATTATGATTATTGTCTCCAGCTCCAGGCTTCGTCTTCTTCCTTCTCCTCGTCTTCACTGTTCGTTACTGATGCTATCTGTCTTCTTGCTTTGCTTTCGCATCTTGCTGTTTTCTCTCCTTTTAGCATCCTTGCAGCCTTGCAATTGAATGCTCCATTGCTGGTTCCGTTGCTTCATCTCTCCTCTGATCCTCGACCTATCCCATATATCTCCTTTCACCTGCTCCGGTCTCTTTCTACCTCTCTACTCTCCCAGCCAGGCAGACGATGCTGTCGTGCTTCGCCCTCACTGCTCCCCACCTCCCTCTTCCTTCTTGAACTTGTCGGGTGCTGTGAGCTGGGTGTTGTTGCAAGCTTCTATTTGACAGCTGTTTCGACCTGCGTGCTTATCGGTGCTGCCTATCGACCTCCACTCGAAGCTCGGTTCAAGCTTATAGCACCCTTTGCTCGCTGCTCATTTCCTTCCCTGTTCTTACTGCTGCAGCGGCGCTGTTACTGGAAGGATGCTGCTCACACTTAAGCCTTCGTCGCAGAACGGGGTCAAAGGGCCCCATGACTACGCCATCGTTCGCCAGTCCGTTCCTACCCCACGGTCTTCCCCACCTCCAGTGTCAGATCTGTCAGCGACCACAGCGCCTTCGAGATCGTCTGCAGACAAGCCCATGGACAATTCTCGTAGCGGACTGCCGCCCCCGGCCTCCCTAACTCTACCGCCGCCAAACCTAGGCTTCGCAAGTGGCACTGGCCCCGCCAATGCAATGAATCAAACCCTCCCGCCGCCTCCAAGTCAATGGCAGAGCTCCGATGACTCCATGCGCCACTGGCTCCAAGCCAAGGCCGAGGAGGATCGAAGGAAGCAGGAAGAAGAGAAAACACGCCAAGAGTCTCTGCGACTGGAGCAGCGGAGGCTCGAACAGAGCATGCTGCGCGATGCGTTGCAGGCCGGAATTCCGCCGCACCTCATTCCGCTGATCTTCGCGGGTATCAGTCCCGGCGGGCTGCCCCCCTCCATTCTTGAGATGGTTCAACAACACATGGCCCAATCGGTTCCCGCCCGGGCATCGGCTCCTACGATGCCGGTCATGCCACATGCACCGACTCAGGCCCAACGACGGCCATCGCACGTTCGACGTGACTCCCGCACGCTTCCCCTGAACCCTTACACCGCCCCCTCGGTCCCAGCGCAGGCTGTGCCCCCTCCGGGCATTCTGCTGTCTCAACCTTTGCACTCCGTAGGTGCGCCCCCGACTGTACAGCCGCCGCCGGTCACAAACGGTGCTGTCGATACTCGACTGCCCCCGTCCGTTCCGCGGATGCCTCCGAGCGAGCCGCAGCTCCAGCATCCTCCACCTCCTCCTATTAACCTCAGTCATGTGCACTACGCTCCAGGGTCTTCCATACCTTTCACACAGTCGGCAGTGAGCAAGTCAGATTCTATCTCTCGCCCTTCTCCACCATCTCTGTATTTCCATCATTGGGTGCCACCAGGACAGCCGCAGGCCAACCAACTGGGAGCGCGAACTCGCCAGGAGTCTCCTGGGGCGACGCAGGGACCACGCCGGGTTGACTCCCACAGTTCTCCCGGACTAAAGAGAAAAGCTAGCGGTCCTCATATTCCTGCTCCGATGCCCTCATCGAGGGGGTCGGAGCCCGTTCCTGGCGGTAGCAATGTTTATGCCTCCCGACCGGGGTCACCGACGGGTAGAGGACCTCGCCCGATGATGTCGACTGAGGCATTGTCGACTTATGACCTTCATGCGGCGAATTCGAGACCTGACCGCCCTAGTCGTGGCCCCAGCCCCGACCCGATCACCGAAAACCCGAAATCGGATCCGCACCGTGAGGAGCATGCTCCTGCTGTAGATGATTCGTCCGGAGCGGAACCTTCTTCAATTAGACCTCCAGACGTACGGCCAGACGCAGCCGCTGAAAGTACATTACCAGATCCAGGATCAACGAGGAATCCTGGCTCACCTGTCGTCACGAGGTCAAGTGAACCCGAACGACCCAACTAATCCCGTCCCAGGAAGACTAGCCACCCGTCGTCGTCATGGGTGACTTGACATCTTCCCCATACATCCTGTAATATTGCTGTGGTCTATCTAATTTTCATGCTGATATCTCATTGGGAAGCGACTTGTATATTCTCTGCATCCGGAGCCTATCGTGTCCATCGGGAAAGATGAGTTTTATGATACCAAAGACTAGAAACGGCCTTTCTTTTTTCTTTCTTCTTTCTTCCCGATCGCTGTCCCATTTTCCCCGCCTTGAGCCATTCTGTACACTGCTTGTAGCGTCCTCTCGGCCGTACCTTTTCAATTCCGCGGCGTCTTCTCACTCTTTCCCCTTAAGGTCGGAATATGATGTGACCCATGCCGTCATACGCACATGTGACATTCAGGGACCGTAAAGAGCGCATAGGGTAAGTATACTACTCATAATCTACTCGTTGCTATCCTGCCGTAGGACTTGACCAGGCACATCGGGTACAATAGGGTACCAGGGAACCTGGCGCGTAAGTCTAGCGCGCAGCACGACTTGAACCGTTACTTATTTGTCCCACGAGATGGGTATATAGAATACGGCAGACGAGACGGATATTTACGTCCTTGGTGTAGAGGTCGGAAGTATATTCAGGATGATCAAAGGGAATGTATGCAAGAGCGAGAGAGAGAGAGAGACCATGTACAGTACGGTGCCGGTGCTTGAGCCATTCACCCTACCACAGATAAGTTGATTCGGGAGTCACGGCCAATCATGCAAACCATGCAAACCATGCAAATTAAGCAACATCTGACAGGAGGGGACAATAAGTCGACGAAGGCACACCGAGAGGGAAGTGCCGCCGGGGTTCAAGTTGATTCCTTGACTCGCTGAGTCCCGAAGTTTTGAGAATACAGATGAAAAAAAAGAAGCTGGAGATATCTAGGACGCGAGGGAGGTTGGATGGTATATTATGACAGCGTTGGAATTATGTATGTATGTATGTATATAGATAGGTAAGGCAGGGTGATTAGTATCCATGGAGGGTTCGGGGAGGACATAAGGAAAGAATGATAAGCGAGGCGCAGATGGTACAGAGTAGTAGTAGTAGTGACATGGTAACGAAAGGGTGGAATGTATAGCAGAGAAAGACATTTATGGGAAAAGAAATGATAGAGAGTGATGTGTGAATGTAGAGATTGATGCGGTTGGGTCGAGGGATCCAGTGGTGAGAATGAGAGGTTCATTCAGTGTCAGTGTGTGTGCAAACAGCTCCTGCGAGAAGTAGGCTGTCTTTGAAAAGGGATAGCATGTCCAGTGAGTGCTGGGACGGGCGGGGTTGACCTTCCGGGGGAGATAAGGAAAAAGAAATGAGCCGAGGGCGGATTTGCTTTATAAAGTCACGGCAGAGGTGATGCCGTCATCTGAGTGAGCTCTGGAAGCGGAAGAAACAGCGGGCAAAGGAGGGATCGAAGGGGAAAACAGGGATAGATGCGATTAATTGCACAACGACTTTTCTTTCATCATCAAGAATCGTCCGCTTGAGTCGTAAGAGAATTATAAGGGGACTTCCATCCGAGGCCAATGGGTAGCAGCCATGCTACCCTTAACTCAAGGAAGAAACCTAGACATTAGATTAGGTTTTAAAACAGTGATTGTAAAGGTCGGATTGGTGGGGACATAAGCCACCGGGTCATCGTATCTGCAACTCGCAGATTTCACAGATGAGGCTTAAGATGATTTCTTTCGGCGATGCACTTTCCACTCCGTTTTGGCAACACGCATGAACAATTCCACATCCTTAATGGGGACCCAGCTGGTGAGGACCTTCATCGTATTTTCGAAATCGGACTCGAGGACGATATCACGCATACCATCGATGAGGGCTGCCGAGGTAGCATGGAGCACATCCAAACCGTTGCCAAATGCACTGACATGAGCCTTCTTACCGCTTTTAATGGAAGACCCACTCGCAGTAAGATCCTCTGCGTCGCCGAGCAGCATGAATACATCCCATACCCGAAGCTGCGCAGGAAATGGGATGGAATAGTTGAAAAGAGTGAGATACCAGCGAGTACCGTACGCTGTAGGTGGAATTCCAAGCTCATTCTGTGATGGGTATTGCATTAGCATAGCGCGCGGGGCGACAGAGACGTATACGCCACTTACCAATTTTGCAGCAACCTCTCCTTTCTCCAGCCATTCTCGTTCGAAGTCGCTCAAAGCCTCCATGAGGCCCGCAAAGCCGGATTGATATAGCCGCTCCAGGCCCCGCAGTTGCCAGAGTCGAACAAGCATGATAAATGCATGTTCTTCGTCGTAGTATGCCAGCAGCGTGGCAGCAAGGGCTGCCATGCCCTGGACGTAGCCTGTATCCGGAAAATAGAGAGACATCGCATGCAGCACGCGGAACAGCAGCCGCTGTCCGCCACGATAGCGGCGACGAAACATAATGTGGCTGGTTATTGTTCTGGGGACATCAATATCGATCTGGACATCATCCGGGGAAGACATTAATTGGTATTCATTGAATGCCTCAATAAGCTCTTCTTTTGATGGACTGTCGCTGTGCAGCTTGGCGCTTGCTTCCAGGAAGGCATACCAAGCGGTAGCTCGCCATCGGTCAGGTATGCCTTTCCATGTCCGTTCGATCAGCTTCGAACTGGTGGTATCGAACTCGAATGTCATGCCGCCTCCATCGCTACTTCTTATCGGCTTGGCCATCTTCGTCCACTTGTCTTCCCTCTCCCATTCCTTCTTCCTTGCTGCGCGCGCAGCGGCTGAGTCTTGTCGATCCCCGGGTGCGATGGCGTTTGTGGGTAGCGTGAGCATGTCGCCCGCCTCGTCCTTGACACGACGAGTCCGGTTGTGAGGAAGATGGTTGGCTGCCCGACGAAACCGTGTGGTGGAACGCCGTAACGGTGAACTGTAGGTACTTTGAGAAGACGATGGACGAATTGACGGCTCGGATAGTTTTCGAGTCGGAGATCGGCCAGTAAAGGAGCGATGATTGGGACCTATTGCCGAAGGCGGGCGCATAGAATACTTGCGCCGTGGGGTTTCAGAGGCAAGAAGCAGGCTTGTAGAGACGCGTTGAATGGGACTAGGATCGATGCCTTCATTGGAATTAGACGTCGGGGACCGAATGAACCCGTATCGGTCCACATCGCCAGCTTTGATGTTCTGCCAATATTCAATGCCTCCCGCAAGCTCGTGTGCTTCTCGCTTGAATCCGGGGACACCGTCCGTCCCGAGTGACGAAACTATACTTCGAGTATCCGTTCCGGACACGCTGGGTCCCGACAGACGCGAGCATTCCATGCTCGGGGGAGCTGTGTCTTCCCACAGAACGCCGTGCTCCGCGGCCATGGACCTTGCTACCTCCGAGTCCGTCACATTCTCGTCGCCCTTCTCATACATTAAGCGCACTCGTCGCGACAGCATGTCTTCATCTGCAGAGATGGCTCTGCTGGCAATAGCGCTGTGCCGCACCCTAAGCGTCGCTTGCGGTTTGGAGCGCCTCGTAGGGGAGTCCAAAGGTTCTTCGTCCGCGGCATGTAATTCCGGCGAAGTCATGGCTGGCAGAGCCGTATCGCTCTCGTCTTCCAGCACATGCTCCTGTAATCGTTGGTCGGCCCCTTCCATCTGCGCGATTCTTTGTTGTTTTGCCTCCGCCTGCTGGATTTGCTGTTGGAGCTGACGTCTTTCCTCTTCCTTGATGAGACTGCCACGCTTGGAAAACCTCATTGATTGCGGTCCTAGACCGTCGAGTGCGGCGTTCGGGATGTCCAAGGGGATTCCGTTGAACGGGGCTTGGATAGGAGGGACAGGCGGTGTGTCATCTTCATCCCGATCGAAATCCCCTGACTTTCTACCCCTTAAGCCACCCCATCTACGTTCCGACCAGCGCGACCCGGGACGAGATCCTGGGCGAGATCCTGGACGCGAACTGGGACGCGACGCCGTGTCATCAACAATAATGCTGGGTATACTGCCCAATGACCGCAAGCTCACAGTCGAAGCCCCGGCAGCTGGTAGGCTGGTTAACCTGTTTCTGCCACGTCTAGTGGTCCGTTGTGATAGGGCGGGTGGGGCTTGTTCAATGGGGGCACCGGAGGAGGTACTGGATGAATTCGATCGGTCCTCTGAACAGAAGGATTGATTACTCGGTTGGGGGAACGACGCAGATCGAAGTGTCACTGGGACTGTCGCAGCAACAGTCTTATCGTAGGGGAGACTCTGGATTGCCGAGGTCGACTCGGACATCACGGCGGAAGGTACAGAAACGGGCCGGTTATTCACCATTATCCCGGCATGACTTTGCGCCCTATTATCTCTATTAATTTGTAGCGTTTTTTGTTCTTTTAGGAAAGATCTTGCAGCCGAAGCTGGGTATGTGTATGTGAATGTAGATGTGGTTGTGTTTGTGTTCGTGCACGTTAGCCAAGAGAGGCAGCGGCCGGCGGGGCGGTCGATTGATTGATTGATTGTATGTAGTATTCGAATTTGGATCGCAGATGAAGGAGCGGAGAGGGACTGAATTAGAACCGGAGGCGCAGTTGGAACTTCAATGGAATTGATGATTATAGAAATCGTATAAATAAAATAGAGATTAAGCTTATGAGACCTGAGGACGGGAAATGAGCGACAAACGGGGGGAAATCAGGTCTCTTGCGCGGTAAATCATGGCAGTCGGCAACAAAGCGACGGAGGAGAGAGAAGGAGTGAAATCTGGGGCGGGCGTTGCTTGCAGTTCCTGGAAGGATGCTTGGCGGCAGGACAAGCTTCAGCAATCCAGGGAGGAATCGAAAGTCGGGGGAGAAGGAGAGGGGGTGAAAAGAGGTGGAATTTCACGGAATGTGTGTGGCTAAAGGGGAGATAAACTCGCTGCGCTGCCCAGTGCTATCTGGGCTGCGTCGAGGGAGGATGGAACGGAATTATTAGCCAAGGGGGAAGAGGAGGGAAGGGAAAAAGGAAAAAAAAGGCCCTCAGCCAGTAAATAAGTAATAGTAAAAAGTAAAGAAGTAGTAGTCGAGCAATGCGCGCGCGCACTCGCTCACCTCTTGTTAGCTAGCGACACTACCTTATTCTGCAATGCTCGCCTCATTGAAGGAAAAAAAAAAAGGTAGCGCATTCAGCCAATACAGAGGAGGAGACCAAGAGAACAATGCGCACAGCAGGGTTGGCGCAAAAACCAGGGAGGAAGTAGAAGGAGATGGAGAAGGAAAAGAACAAACCTACTGGGAGGAGAGGAGATGCAAGAGAAGAAAGAGGAGGGCGGCGACGAGGAGGCCGATGATCCACTATACAATTTTTAGTCTGCTTTAACTCCTCGGGAAGGCCACGCAACTGTGGATCTTCACAGTTGATTTTGCGTGGTCCCGACCACAAACACTATTTCTGAATTGGATTGGATTGAATTGAATTGAAGCTGGTTGCAATGGGAATGAGAGGAGAATAGAGAACAAAGAAAGAGAAGAACAGCGGAGGCATTTAGTGGCTGATGGATGTTTTGATTGAACCTCTGCTTCACCACAACAACTATCATTGAGTCTATAGTTCACTCGACTTATTCCGTCGGGGGCGCACGCACCACCTCAGATCAAGCTTAGATCTACTCATATCTACAATATCTCATATCTCTCTGCCTTGAGTTAAAAGGGCTCCCCAGCTTCCTCTGCCGTGTCATCTCCTTGCGCAGCCACTGAAGTGTGTGTGTGTGCCTCTGGCTGGGCAAGAAAGGGAGAACAGAGGGATGTTGATATCCACTTTCTCCCACATCTTCTTCTCCCATCCCTTGGAAGTGAAAATCTTTTCCAACCAGCCAGGAGCTCCAGAATTGTCGCCATGTCTGTGATGCAATCAGCGGGTTCTAAGCTCCGATTTCTTCTTCCATTGAAGGTTCAGATCCACCTCAGTGGCTATAATATTTACTAGAACTCGGCTTCTTGCGGCAGGTCGCATCCTGCCTCAATGCAAGGATTCACTGCAGCCTTTATACATTAATCTCATCGCCCATCGCCCGCTCTGTCCATTGCCTCCTTCTGTCATCCGCCTTGCTCGTCATTTCCACATAGTCTTCCATAAATGACCCAACCGTTGTAACTCCGCCAAGGTCAGATGCCTGCTGACCTTCCATGCAAACACGACACAACCATAGCATACATTCAATGTATGCAGCCCTTCGCACCAAGCTCAAAGAGTTCACCAAAGAAGGGAGCGTAGATGCGGGGGCGGGGGGGAAGAAAAAAAAAACAAAAACAAAAACAAAAACAAAAAGACCCGGCAGGGGCCAAAGATTGTCCACAGCAAAAGATAAAGTGGTAGATGACAGGCCCACAATCTAACTGTTCAAGCCACGGCAGCTGTGTTGATGCCGGACCTGGACGGCTCACGGGTAGAGCGTGTTGGTTCAATCGGCTCATTGGGGAGAAGTTCAATCTGACGAACCAAGAAGCTCTTCTCATCTGTGAATTGATCATCTTCAGTCCGATCCTCCAGGAAGCGAGGTAAGAATCTCAAAAGGCGGTCACGGTTGTTAATAAGAATTCGCTGTACGGCTACAGATTTGTTTGGGTTCGCAACAAATACCTGCGATACATTCTTCGTCAGCATGCCGTCGTTCGTTGGCCAGGAGGGGCCGGTCTGCCTTACTTTGAACACGTGGAATCCTTCGTACTGGACCATCTTGCGATCGTCTCGCAGTAGCTTCATGCAGAGCTTCAGATTGTCACCGCTCTCCACATAGGACATCATGACATTGTAATTGGCCCGATCGAGCAAGATCTCGCCTAGAAGCTTGATGCTCTGCCGCTTGGTCACATATGAGCTGGAGTTCACAAGTACCTCGTTGAATTTCGCAAAGAACCGATCAAAGTTAGTCGACAAGTAGCCGGTTACTAGAGTTTTGTGGCGGGTCAATATGTCCTAAAGCGATCGTGTTAGTACTCTTGTTATCGCCAGCAGATTCGATAGACAATTGTTACCCGGAAGGTTGTGAAGGAATCGGCACTCAGCTCGAAACTGCCGCGGTCTATCCAGTAGAAAAAACGCCAAAAGATCCCAGTCCCATCTTGGGGGACGCCGGGCTGAACTTCTGTGAGTTTGATAGCTGGCTCTCCTTCGCCTGATTGATCATACAAGATGATAGCCGCGATGACGTCAAACTTCAAGGCTTCTCGCAGGATAATGCCGCATGGCATAGCACTTTCGCTGTGCTCATAACCCTTGCACAGCTCAATGATAACCTCGGGTCGGTTATGGACTATATAAGAGATGACCGGAGGGTCGTTTTGATTTGAGCTCGAACTGGCAGGCCTGAAACGAAGCATATGCGAAAAGATGGCCTGGGTGTCCTTTCGAGCTTCAAAGGGAAGGAGATGAAGACATCGAGCTAGGTCATAAAGCAGATCCTCCTGCAGAGCTGCATGAACTAAATTTTGAACCTGTTCAGGGGATACCTCGACATCTGCAAAGGACCACATCAGCCGGGGTTTCTGGAGACCCTAAAGAAGTATTTAGGTAGGAAAGGGTAACAAGCCCCGTGCAATTTCATGCAAGCACACGAACCTTGAGTACCTTGGACGATCAGTTTCATCTGAGAGAGTGGCTTTTCCGCATCCTACATGTTAGTGCAGTCAGCAAGCATTCGGGGTCGCGGAAGTCAGAACAGTCTGGCGCGAAACTGCTCTCGAGACCAGAGGAGGATACACAAATTGGAGACCAACCTTGGCAGTCGAGGGGTCCTCCCGAACCCGCGCCAGGGAGTCTTTAATTGTCCGAACAAGATCAGAAGGCTGACGGGATCGACCGCGGTTGAAGAAGAAGGCCATGCTTGATTGTTTGTATTGCCGGCGGAACCAAAACAGCGTCTGGGAGGGGAAGAAGAGCGGTCACTGTGCAGGGGGAACCGACTGCTCGGTTTTAGCTCGAGACAACAAAACCCAGAATTTGGTAAGAGTGCAAGGCTCGATATCGATAGTAAGAAGGCGATTCAATTGAAGAGGGAGTTTGTTGTGTTCGCAGAGTGGAGGAGGGGACTGTGAGTTGGAGATGGAGCTGAAGCTCTTCTGGAGGGAGGCGGTGACGCTTCTGTTGGCGGGGAAGCCGACCAAGCCTCAGGCTCCTCCGTGTTTGATTGACTCTTATCGCCGTTCTGGCCCCCCTGATAATAAACAGGCAGGCGGGGCACCAAATGCCCGTCCCGCTCTTTTTCGATTTTTCGATTTTTCGATTTTTTTTTCGACGGTTTGTCTTTTCCGGCCGCCGCAAGCAAACTGGAAATTTGTACCCCTCACCTCATTCTCAGTTGACACTTCTCCAACTCGCCCTTTTCAGCTCTTTTTCTGTATCACGGATTCGTGATTTGCTAAGAGCGCAATCAACCCAGGTTCTGGAAAATTAAATTCCAAACAATCTGATTTTATACCCGTCGAGCCATCCGCGCAAACTATTGCAATACCCCGCAATTATCGCCATGTCTGCTTCGGCTTTTGCATCGCAGCGTGTCCCCGTCGAGGACGACGTGCGCTCTCATTCCTCTGAGGAGTCCGACATCAGCAATGAGGAAGGATGGGAAGATGTCGAGCCCGATGACGAGACCCAGCCAGTTGTCGGCCTATTCTCCGACAAAGTCTACCCCGACGTGCTGTCCATGTTGAAAGAGACCAAAGACAAGCACAACTTTGACCTGCGAGGGATTCGGAAGGAGTTCGGTGCGTTCTCACTTGATATGCATTGGCACTGCGTTGAATCCCTGATTGTGGAGATGTAGAAGCCTGGATGTGGAATGGCTCTTAGGCTCTGAGTGTGACACGGCTAACTATTACTTCATTCGCAATACAGACTTGGACTTTTTGGGCACTATCAAGCTGGTCAACTACATCCGTTCCCAGGTCAAGCAGGGCAACATGTCGCCCGATGTCTCCTCCAAGGATAAGTTTGACGACGAGCTCTACTTGATGCCGGTCCTGGAGGATGATGCTCTACTGTACAGCTTGGATGACATTGATGAAGAAGCCCCAGATGCTGCAGGGGAGACGGACGCCGAGAGGCGAGTAATTGAGCTGCAGGAGGACCTTGAGCGCCTCCAGACACAATTTTCCGAATATCGAGACGCGGTCCAGAAGTCAATGGAAGAACAACTTTCCAAGGAGGATGAGAAACTCAAAACCAGCCCCAATGCTCCTAGTGCACGACGAACTACCAGCAAGATTGATGAGGCTGATGCGGATTACTTCGTTTCCTACTCATACAATGGTACAGTCTTCGAAATCCAGGTATCTCAATATGCCATCTCCCCCTAACAAAATAATTGCCAGGCATTCACGAGTCCATGCTTAAAGACACTGTTCGCACTGAAGCCTACCGGGACTTCATCTACGAGAACAAGCATGTTTTCAAGGATAAGGTTGTCCTGGACGTAGGTTGCGGAACCGGAATTCTGTCCATGTTCTGCGCCAAGGCTGGGGCTCGCAAGGTCATCTCCGTTGACAACTCGAACATCATCGATAGAGCCAAGGAGATCATCTATGAGAACGGCTTCGGGGACATCATAACGTAAGTGTTCGCCTTCATCTACTGCGACAGACACGAGCTAATATTTGAGAATACAGGTGCATCCGTGGCAAGATCGAGGAAGTTACACTGCCCGTCCCGCAAGTGGATATCATCGTCTCTGAGTGGATGGGTTACGGTCTTCTTTTTGAGGCCATGTTCGACTCGGTAATCTATGCTCGGGACCGCTACCTTGCCCCCGGAGGTCTCATGGCTCCTTCGCATGCTACCCTTCGCATCGCCCCATTCGCGGACTCCGAATTCATTTCGTCGCACATCACATTCTGGAAGAGTGTCTACGGTTTCAACATGAAGAGCATGCTTACCGGTATCTACGATGAGGCGCTTGTTCGAAGTGTACCGCCGTCATCGATCCCCGGAGATTCCGATGTCTTCCTGCCTCTTCCGCTGCATACCATCACAGTTGAAGAACTGTCCTTCTTGAAGGAGTTCAAGGTCACTCTCAACGAAGACATTGATGCGCTTGATGGTTTCGCTATCTGGTTCGACATCTTCTTCATGCCTTCCAGGGACTCCCCCCTTGCGGACGATGCACTCCCCTCTGATATGCAGAAGAAGGGCATTGTTGCTTTTACCACCGGGCCTCACGGTACTGAAACACACTGGCAGCAAACCATCTGCCTCATCGATCAGGAGAAGAAGAAGGCTGCTCCCCTTAAGAAAGGCCAAACGATCACTGGTAAGGTCGGTTACCAGAAGAAGGAGGCAGGATCTCGGTCATTGGACATCAGTATTGAGTGGGATACTGAAAATGAGAAGGGCTCTCAGCTGTGGAGTTTGCAGTGAGCTAAACACGCATGGTGGTCATCGTTCTATGAAATACCATAGATCTCAATCTCAAAAATCTCTTCAGTGCGATAAAGAATAATAGACTTGTGTTTGCGTTGGTCACGAAGACTTCCGAGCTTGAACACGGTGACTTTTCTATCGTAACTGGCTGTAAAAGATGCTGGGAGAAGAGTTGCCCTCACCATAATCGTATAATGACGAGTAATATGCACATTGCTCGTATTGTGAATGCTCTAATTCATCTCACTCGAGTTTTGATTCCGCCCGTCTATGGCGGTCATGGCGACGAGAATGAGAGTCTGACTTAGGCTGTGAATGTCGATGACGCGAGCGATCTCGGCTTCCGTCCCTGCGATCATGATGTCGACGGGAGCTTCTTACATGATGTTTCCGACGGCTGTCTGAAGAAGCATCAAGCCTGAAGCCCTCAAGGCTATCTAGCGACAGTGACCGTCTTCTCCGGTGATGCGACCGGCGCCTTTCCGTGGATTTCATTTCCTCAAGCTCTCGTTTTCGTTCCTCGTTCCATCTATTCCTTTCGCGCTCAACGGACCGGAGCTGTTGCACACCTTTCTTCATCGCTGCTAGAGGGTCGTTGGCATCCAACCTAGCCTTTTCCCGTTCTCTCCTTCGAGGATCCTCATTGCCCCAGACATCCTTGCTTGGCATGGATTCTGATGGTTGTGTATTATTTCGGGAAGATGAATACCAGGGGTTTTGATTGACCGATTGCCGGAAACCCGCTGCATTGGAGAAGCGCATTGTGTATTGATCTTCGAGTCTTCGTTGCTTCTCAGCAGATTCCTTCTCAGCTTCCGTGTTCTTCTCGACTGGTTTGCGGGCTTTTCCCTGAGGAAACAAGTCAATGTGCCCGGAGCTATCGTGAAGGGGTGCATCGCTTGAACGGACACGAGCCTGCTGGTCCTGGGTGGCTAGGGCTATCTTTGCATCCTCTTGGGCCAATCTGATATCTCTGTCCGTGTCGTTCTCCCCAGCCAGTCGTCTTCTTTTCCTGCGCCTCGCCGCATCTTCCGAGTAAGACTTGTGTTTGTTGGCAAAAGAGTCAGAAGGCTCCGGCGGCGGTGGAGGGGGGGTCGAGGGTCGTTCTCCGCGCAGTATTTGGATTCTTCGCTCGGCATCGACCTCCTGCATGCGACGCTCCTCTTCTTCCTCCCGAGCTTTGGCCTGCGCCTCGTCGCGCCGGACGCGAGCGATGTTCTCTGTGTTGTAGACGTTCCATGACTTCTTGCCGAGGAGGTGTCTGGATCATGAGGATTCAAATTAGTGTTGGCAACCCAAAAATGAAGAGAAACGAGGATGAAAGACTCACAGCGGCATCTTGGTTCGATGAGCAAGTGTATTTACTGAATTGGGAAGATGGATTGCTCGAGCACAAGAGTCGTCATAGAGATCGGCGAAAACGGAAGTCCGCCGGGCCGATGGACTAAGCAACGGTACCTTAACTGGCGGTTAACTACGTCCATGTGTCGCTAAAGGAGCTCCCTCCAACTTACAACCGCCACTTCTACCACTCTCATTCCCTCATACTTGATAATCTCCCACCGTACAAACACTTTACTTTGCAGTCAGCTGTTCAAGGTCATTCTTCACTTTGTCTATACCATTGAAACTTCATTCTATATTAGTTGAACTTGTGCCACAGCTGCCGGCAGCATCACTCTAATCGCCCCTCCCCCGCGCTCAACTGCACAGTCAGCCATTGCCCACTTCTATATCCCGTCTGCTGTCTGCGCAATAACTCTTACATTCTTGAGCAAACATGTTTAATCGCAATAATTACCCTTCTGTGCCCAACCCTTTCGGCTCTCGCCCCTCGCGTGGAGACGGCTACCCGGCCCCTAACCAGCCGGGTGGATATCCTGCTGCAGGGTACGCATATAAAAAACGCAAGGCTTTCTTTCGAATAATGACTTGCTAACTCATACTATCTATTAGTCCCGGAGGATACGGAGCCCCACCGCAGTCTATGGGCAGACCTAGCCCATCACACATGCCGCCACGGAGTGAGAAGCCCGCCAGCTCCGGTCAAACATGGACACTACGGCCTGCAAAGAGCCCGGACAATGTGTATACCTTTGGAAATCTGTATGACTTGAGCCAATCCGAGGTCAAGTCCTACCTTCTGACAGTTTTCTTAGAGTCGCCGTTTCAACCCAGGACTTCCCTCCCTCTCGCGATGGACACGACCTTCTACTTCTCATCAACGACCTTTACGTTCTCTCTGCGCGTCCTCTGGATGGGTTCCCACCCGGTCATATCAGCATGTCGGATCCTCAGCGAACTTGGGCTGGTATCGCTTTCACGGACTCAGTGCAAGTGCAGATCTATGATCCCTTCGGCCAGGGTGGTCAGGCATACGTCGGATCAACCGATATCGAAGTAGGATTCGCTGGCAAGAAGAGGGTCGAGACTCCATATGACCAGGACGAGCTGGCCAGCGTCGTGATTAAGGTATATTTATTCCCACGTCCCAAATTAACTGTACTGCGGTCGCTGACAGAATTAGAATTTTGAAAACCAAATATTCGCACCCGGTCAAAAGATCCTGATGGATCACCGAAGCATCCCTCTTTTGTTGACAATCAAAACCGTTCAACGCGTTGATCTGTCCTCCGGCACCCCTGACCCCAATGGTGGA